ATTACTTAAACAGACTTACTGGGTGAGCAGGGTAGGCTATGACAGCTGTCATATCATACCCTGCCATGCCCAGCTGATGCAAAGAATATAATTTATATCTACACAGAAGAAAGCCCTGTCTAGACTCTGGCCCGGTATGAGTTGTGTCGAGCTATTCATTAGCCTGTTTGTTTGATGAAAAAAGATGAAACGTAGTTGCAATAAATGCTTAAGAATCCATACAACTGCAGCAGCAGAGGACTATTATTCTGCTGCGTGATACTGCGGAAGAACTGATGACGGCACGGGTTGATCTTCGGCTGACCAATCAGCAGAAAGGGGTGTTTAATTCCCGCCCACGTGTAGAAATCGAATATTCAAGCTGTTTATTCATTTTTCCGCCCATGAACGAAAAACGAAAATTTAAGCTGAATTCTCGTTTTTCGTGTTTTGGGGAAAAAAAAACAAAAAACAAAAAGGAGCCGTTTTCTAATTTTTCTACTTTCAATATTAAATCAAAAAACGAATGATCGAATGATACACGGATTATTAAGCAGTGGGGCAGAATTCATTTTGGCAAATGCGCGCGTTAAGACGGTTTCTGACACTTGCTCATACAGCGCCTGACTAAACTAAGAGTTATTTTTGGCGCCTTGTGTTTAAACGTTCGAATACACATAGCTATGTGTTAAAATGCCTGTCTCCTCGTCAACACAGTCATTTTTGTCTTAAATGAACGTTAATAGTTAACGATAAAGCATGTGCACTAGTTGGCTATTATGAGACCCTGGCATTATATGATGAGATTTTAAAGGGATATTCACCCAAAAAATGTAAATACTGTCATCATTTACTCAGTTTCAAGTTGCTCTGAACCTGTATGAATTTCTTTGTTCTCTTCAACATAAAAGAAGATATTTTGAAGAATATTCGTAACCACCAGAAAGTTTCTGTCCCTGTTGACTCCAATAGTGTTGTTTTTTTCATACTATGGAAGTCATGGGTGCACAGACACTGTTTGGTTACCAGTATTGTTCCAAATACATACGTTTGCATTCAACAGCAGAAGGAAACTCATTAAACTCAAATTAAACATTAGAAAGAAAATCACTCACTGTCCTTGACTGAATCACTTTTGTAAAATAAGTAAGAAATAATGTATATTGAATTTATACAGTGAAGACTATTCGGTCTATTTCTAGTCTATTTATTTTATACAATATATTTCTTATTCAGTGCTTTAAGTGTTTGTAGGTCAATTTCTTTGTTCTATTGTAATTCATGACTGTTTACTTGTCTTCAGTACATTTGTTTTTACATATTGGAATTGGTAACAAGAATTATGAAACTTTGATTGGATAAAAATCCTATGTTAAGCTATATCATTATTGTAACGGGGGGGTCCTGCAGTAAGTCATAGCCCCGGGGCCCATTGAGGTCTTAATGCGGCCCTGCCTGTAGGCTGGTAGAAGATGAACCAAACAGTGATCAGAGAGTCCCAGAGCTGCCAGTGGTCCAGTATATTGTATATATGATTAAAGATCATATTGTTTTCATATAGTACTGCACTTAAGAAGCTACATAAATACATACATGTTCCCCAGAAAGGACAATTTACCCTGGTCATCAAATTCAAAAAGTTTTCACCCCCCAGCTATTAATGCATCGTGTTGCCTTCTTGAGCATCAGTAAATGTTTTCACCTTTTGTAATAGTTATGTATGAGTCCCTCAATTGCCCTTAGTTTGAAAAGATGGATCTCAAAATCATGCAGCCGCTGTTGGAAAGGGTTCAAATATGCAGAAGATGCTGGAAAACCAACATTATTAAAAAAACACACACACACACACACAAAAAAAACAAGTATTTCTTTTGTCTCTTATTTTTCAGTTATTATTTTGTCTTGTGGAGTGTATATATAAACATCTGTTATGTGAAATAGCTTATTCAAGACAGTACTAAATTTTAAAAAAAAACATGCAATTGTCATGATCTCTCTTATTTTGTTAAAATTATAAAGTTTGCATATTCTGGGGTGTGTAAACTTATGAGCACAACTGTTGTGCTCATAACAGCATAACAAATATATATAATCTCCATAAGTATTTTTCAAAACCATTGTTTTCAAAAACAAGTAAATTCACCTTTTTATAATTTTTTTGTTCAGATGAAACATCACATAAATGCAATTTTGAACATTACTCTGCACTAAATCTACAAAAGCTTTATAAACAGCAATAAACAAGAAGGTGAGTGGCAAATTAAAAATGAAACTTGGTGAAATCTTTACCATCATGTCCCGAGAACACACAAAAAACTAATCATTAAGTCAAAAAGGAATCATTTATTTTGATTAATTTTGTGAGTCAAAGTCATCAAATAATGAAAAGTGATATTTAACAAAAGAAATGTGCTAGAGGAAGCAGACACTGAGTATAAATAGAAGCTGATGTTTTATTGTGATCAGGCGGCGCGGACGCTGAAGAACGGTAGCGCTCTGATGAAAGAGTCCAGTTTACTGTGGAACAGATCGCTCTGGAGAGACTCGCCCAGCACACACAGCGGGTTCTTCACGATGTACTCCACATACAGCTGCAAATGAGAGACAGTTACCAGAGTAAAGACAGAGAGTACTGTGTGTGTGTGTGTGTGTGTGTCTTACAGTGCTGTAGATCTGCTGCAGTGTGTCTCTGCAGTTCGGCACGCCGAGGTCTGTGTTCATCACCAGTTTGATTCCTGTTGGAGTTTCATAATAATGCAGCTTATAACGGCTGGTCTGGAATGCCAGAAAGCCATCTTTCCTGAAGCATTCAGTCAAGGAGAACATGAACACACACACACACACACACACACACACACACACACACACACTCACACACACATACACACTCACTCACACACACACACACAGTGACGAGATGAAGGATACATGTCGAGCGGACTCATCTTGCTGATGAAGGAGCGGATGGAGAACAGCATCCCGTACATCAGCTTAAACTCCTGATGAAACAGAATAGAATCAGCTTTCAGACTCAGCCGCTTTCACTTTACTGTCACTCATAATCATGACGAATGAGGAATATCTGCAACTCTACGTACATAGAATGATATTAACATAGGAACATCATGAGTCTTCCAGTTCTCCCTCCAATCATCAGAACACACGAGACACAGATGCGCTGTAATCACTGTGTTGCATTTTCACTTAATTATTATTATTTTACTTTCCTTTTCTTTTTTTAACCGATACTTTGCAGTTTGTTTACTATACATACAGACTCCATGACACATATCGAGGGATTTAATATTTTAGATCGAAAGAAAAGCTGGTGGAATTGTAGTTTATATTAATCTACGTTAAACTGCACTTGTATGCAAACCAAAATGTTTTGAACTCCTCGAAATTAAATTACTTTTTTTTATTTTTTTTTAATGGTCCTGATGTCATCGTTGCGGAGTGTTATCATACACATATATATCTATATCTACAGTATGATTGTGTTCGTGTGTTTCTGAACCTCTTCTTTGGAGATTCCGGCTTGTTTCTTGCGGTTCCACTCGCTGTAATGCAGGCAGCTGCCATTGCGATCAAATATGTACAAGTTATGAACAGTCATCTGAGAGAAATGACAGAAATCACAAGATTACACTGATGAAGAAGAGTTTAATATCATTACCTCATTCCTGCTCAACATCACAGTCAGCACACGATCACAGAACGTATTTAAACACGACATATCAACCGTTTCGATTATCTGTATTGTGTTTATTTCATATGATGTTTAATGTCGGTGCATTTCATTGTTTACCTTCCGCGCGGCGTCTGTTCTAAGACTGACGCGACAGCTGCCTGAACAATAATCAAAACTCCCTCGAAAACAATATAGCAATCTAATTTGCTTCAAACGAACATTATTTTAAAAAAACGCACACTCTGTAATGCACTTCACGGTTGTGTTTTCTGGTCTATCAGGCGTGTGTGATCGTTTAAGACAGGCGCGTGTGCGGACTCCTGCCGCGGGGTCCTTCAGTAACGTTGTAAAGCTAAAGATGGCCGCAGTGCTGCAGTTTCCTGCTAGCGTTTCAACTTTTAACAATTATAATGATTTATATCCTGACTGGACGCAGACAGAAGTCAGCACAGGGGTGAGTAGCGGTCAGAACTCTAATAATGATCTCACATGACTGAGTTCTAATGTGTAGAAACGCGTTTATTTGGTGATTCGGCGGTGAGTGATGCAGCAGATCGTGAAGCTCGGCATTATTAGCACGGGCTTATTAGCATAGACGCATGGATTCTGGCTCTGTTTAGAATAATTATTCTAGCAGCACGGTTACTAATTATGAGATGATGATCATCTCGCAGGTGATTGAAGGCAATAGAGTACAGGTGCATCTCAATAAATTAGAATGTCGTGGAAAAGTTCATTTATTTCAGTAATTCAACTCAAATTGTGAAACTCGTGTATTAAATAAATTCAATGCACACAGACTGAAGTAGTTTAAGTCTTTGGTTCTTTTAATTGTGATGATTTTGGCTCACATTTAACAAAAACCCACCAATTC